AGTTCACAATGCATGATCTCATCAATGACTTAGCTATGTCTGTGGCTAGGGAATCCTGTTTGAGATGGGAAGGGGGTGAATCACATGAAGTTTTGAAAAGAGTTCGGCATTTGTCGTATGCTAGAGGGGAATTTGATTGTGCTGCGAAATTTGAACCATTATATGAGGTTAAGAATTTGCGAACCTTCGTACCTCTAAGTTCACACCTATATTCGCATAATGTAATTAATAAAAGGGTTTTACATGAGTTAGTGCCAAATTTAACATGTTTACGGGTGCTAAAATTGTCAGAATATGATAATATTGTTGAGTTACCCAATTCTATTGGTAACCTCATTCATCTGCGCTACTTGGATCTCTCTTATACTGCAATCAAAAGGTTGCCTGCCACAAGTTGCACTCTCTATAGTTTACAAACATTACTATTGGTAGGTTGTTGGTCTCTTTTTGAATTGCCTATAGATATGAGAAAATTGATTAACTTGAGGCATCTTGATTGTAGTGGAACTCAAATCAAAGAGATGCCGGTGCAAATGGGTAGACTAAAAAGTTTGAGAACATTGACTACTTTTGTTGTGGGGAAATTTACTGGGTCGACTATTGGCGAATTGGGGGAGTTGTCCCATCTTGGAGGAAAACTTTCAATTTTGAAGCTTAATAATGTGGTTGATGGTAGGGATGCCTTGCAAGCTAATTTGAAGAACAAAAAAGATCTCAAGGAGTTGGAGTTGGCATGGGGCTCCAAAGATGCCGATCATTCCGTGAAAGTGAGAGATGTACTTGAGAACCTCCAACCTTGCATGAATTTGGAGAAATTGACCGTCAAACTTTATGGCGGGACCAGCTTCCCAAACTGGTTGGGAGACTCTGCCTTCAATAAAATAAAAATTATGCGCCTCGAAAATTGTCATTATTGTTTTTCGTTGCCGCCGCTTGGACAGCTATCCGCTCTTAAGGAGCTCTTCATATGTGAGATGAAATTTCTTAGAACGTTAGGTCCTGAGTTGTATGGTCAGCCATTGCAGCCATTTCAATCGCTGGAGAGGTTGGAGTTTGAGGAGATGGCAGAGTGGGAAGAATGGGTATCAAGTGGAAGTGTTGGTCCAGACTTTCCTCGTCTCCAGAAGTTAATTCTAGAAAAGTGTCCGAAACTGAGAGGAAGCTTGCCTTGTGATCTACCTTGCTTGAAAAAGCTTCGCGTGAAAGGGTGTGGGGTTTTACAAGATCAAAGGGCCAGTGTTACTACTAGTACTAGTACTAGTCTCAACTACAATTGTCTTGAAGAATTGGAAATAGAAGATGGATGCCAAACAGGTCTGTTATCATTACTAGAGACAAAGCTCCTGTCCTACCTTCACATTCAACATTTTAATGACATACAGTGCTTGCCCAACATCAATCGTCTTGAAAGTTTGAGTCTCTCGAATTGTCCAACCCTATCGTCGTTCCCTGAAGATGGCCTACCCACTTCGTTGACTTCACTTGACATATACAGCTGTAGGAGATTAGAATTCCTACCTCATGAGATGTTGGCCAACCAATTAACATCGCTCAACTTTTTGCGGATAGAGAATAGCTGTGATTCAATGAGGTCCTTCCCCTTGGGCATTTTTCCCAAATTGACGACACTTATTTTTAGGAATTGTGAGAATCTGGAATCACTTTGCTTGATTGAAGACGAAGGAGCGGTTGAGAATCTCAGTCATCTCAATGAGTTAAATATCAAAGGCTGTCCAAATTTGGTGTGTTTTCCCCAGGGTGGATTGCCCACTCCCAACCTGATGTCACTTGAAGTTGAGATATGCGAGAAGTTGAAGTCATTACCTGAACGCATTCACACCTTCACAGCCCTTGAAAGATTGTGGATAAGGAATCTTCAAAATCTGGAGTCAATTGCAGAAGATGGGGGTTTGCCTCCCAACCTCCAACATTTTAGGATTGAGAATTGTGAGAGACTGAGGGCTTCATCTTCATCAGTGGGAGACTACTGTAATTGGGGTTTGCAAGCACTTGTCTCCCTTAAATACCTTAATATTAGTGGCAGGGGAAGTGATGAAATCTTGGAGACGTTGCTCAAGCAACAGCTGCTCCCTACCACTCTTCACACTCTCAGGATCTCTTCATTATCAACTCTGAAATCTTTGGATGGAAAGGGACTTGCACACCTTACTTTTCTTCGAAGTCTATCTATTACTGCGTGTAAAAGTTTGGAATTCCTACCAGGAGAGGCCCTTCAACACCTCACTTCTCTTCAAGAGCTATATATTTCCAGTTGTCCGATTCTCCAGTTCCTGCCAGAAGAAGGTCTACCGCCATCTCTTTCTTTTCTGTACATCTCCAATTGTTCTGGCCTGGAGAAAAGGTATCAGAATAAAATGGGACAAGATCATTGGGACAACATATCTCACATTCCTTGCATCCGGATAAATGATGAAGTCATCATATGTTGATATGACCTCTCTCTCTCTCTCTCACATAGAGACAAACAAACTCAGGTTAGGTATGTACTTCAAATAACCGCTTTAACTGCTTTTCTTCTAATACAACACAAAAACTGAAATTCACTATCCAAATAAACCGAAATACACATTTTAAATAATTTTTATGTCAATTGCCCCAAATTTGCCATCAATTTTGCATCCAATTAACCTTTGCAGTTGCATCGAATGCTTCTTCCCAGATCATGCTCGCTCTCTGTTGTTCAGCACATTTTTATTTATTTAATTCATATTCATTTTGACTTATAACCATAGGCACACTCTGTTTAAATTTCGTTTATGTATTGTTAGGATGTTTAATCTCCGTACGTGTCAAATCGAAAGTCTCAATTAGATATTTTTGTGGAAGATCTGGAGGTGTACTTTCTAACACTTTTAAAAAAAAATCTCAGAGAATCAATTTCCGAATAGTTCATGTATTTCATGGTGCAAATTTTATTTTTATTTATCTCAGAGAATCAATTTCGGAATAGTTCATGTATTTCATGGTGCAAATTTTATTTTTATTTTTCCGACAATCGAATATTTGAAGAGCTTTTGACGTTTGTAAGGCTGTTCTTCTATTTGTTGTACTTTCTAAGTATAAAAATCAGTACATACATACCAAATGGTTTTGTTCAACTGAAAAGATTGACATGGTAAATTTATTCAAGTAGAATAAAAACCTACATATGCCATCTTCTTTCATACAATTTTCTAAAAGTGTTCATTCATCCCATTCTTCTTCAAAAATTAATGGAGGAAGTTATACCAGTCGCATGGTTCAAAGGAGGCAACTTTCCTTTTCCCCATCTCCCTGGTCCAGCTGCTGCTCATTATCTAGTACTAGTAGCTTGTTCTATATGATTGTGTAGATATGCATATAATATCTTATCTGCAAATGATTTTTTTTTCCATCCCACAAATCATTCCTTCAGCTACAAAGTTCTATTTGATGAGACTTGAAATGTTGGATGTGTACTTGCAGACTTGAGAAACTTTCCCATGTTTGGAGGTCAAAGCAACTTGTGTAGGCAACCATTGTATATGGATTTTTGTTTTTCTACAAACAAATTGCAGCAAATAAGGGGAAGGAAATGTTCTCAAGGTGGAGCTCTAGCAAGAGACCACCATTTGGACAATGCGGTAAACAGATCTCAATCTAACATAACAAGCATCACTGCCCATTCATGATTAGGTAATCTTTCATCATAAAAGTCCATTCCCGACGTATTAACTTGAAAACGTCATTTATGAGTTTCCTCCCCTTCTGATGTTAGCCAACACACTCCAGCCTTCCTTGAGTAATACATACCACAAATTTGAGATACTGGGCAATAAACAAACAATTGGTCTGCACTCTCCCTAATTTATTTTGCTTCCCCATTGTTGTAATAGATAACATCCATGCCTTATCATCTGATTTACTCATTTGCCAGAGTGGGAGGAATGAAGACCAGAAGGCCGGTGTCCAGATTTTCCTCATCTCAAGGACCTGACTTTAGACAAGAGTCTGAAGCTAAGAGGAAGCTTGCCTTCTCATCTTACTTGCTTGAAAGACTGAGCTTGTCGTCCAGGTGTGGAGTTCTACATGATGAAAGGGCCAGTACTACTCGTAACATGGAATAATGTCTTGAAGAATTAGAAATATATGATGGATGACGAGGTCTGTTCTTGTTACTAGAGGCAAAGTTCCTGTTTGTGCTCCTATTTGATACGATGCCATTTCCAATTCAAAAACTTTTCAGGTATGTTAAGAAAGTATTACACAACTAGACGTTTACGCCTTCTCATCTGATTTACTCATTTGCCATAGTGGGGAGGAATGATGACCAGAAGGCCCGTGTCCAGGCTTTCCTCATCTCAAGGAGATGACTTTAGACAAGTGTCTGAAGCTAAGAGGAAGAACGACCCTATCATCTTCCAACAAACTCAAGAACACTGCATGCTATGATTTGTTGAAGTTGAAGATTTCGAGAGAATGAAAGCTGTAGCAGAAAACATAGGGCTGAGATCTCTCCAAGGTACTGCCCCACTCTCCCACAATCTCTGTTCCTTGTACTATGAAGCTTACAGGATTACTCATTTAATGACATCATCACATGATCTTGTAGGTGATTGTGGAGAGGTTTGCCAATTGACCTTAGTGAAATAGAAAAAGAAAAAGTTTGGTTTTTGATATTTGAATGTAGGCACCTTTATATTCTTAGCACTAGACCGTTCCTCCGAACCATCCCCACAAACAACCCCCAAAAAATGAAAAGACCAATCTCGTAGTTACCATAATATGCCATTCATCAGAAATTTGAGAATTCACAGGGTCCCTTGAACTCACTTCTCTTCAACAGATACATATTTATGGCTGTCTGAGTCTCCAATTCCTGCCACAAGACTTTCTTTTCTGAGCATCTCCAGTTGTTCTGCCCTGGAGTAAAGGTATGAGAATAATAGGGGAGAAGATTGGGCTAAGATATCTCACATTCCTTGCATCTTCATAGGCCAAGAAGTGATCATATGAGGATATGAGCTCGTTATCGAACAAAGTTTTTGCTTTTCGACATTTCACTCTCAAGTCAAAGTCAGGCGCATGCCATCAAGTAGGTCCCTTGTCATTATTCCATGTTTATCTTGTCTAATAATTGGATTATCATTTGTTAGATTTATTTCTATGAAGCTGCAATAATTAGATTTAATTAAAGCCAGTAGAATTAATTTCTCCTTTGGATTTAGGAGCATCTTGTTGAGCTGAGGTATGCACGGGAAGTGAAAGCACTCAAGTAAACATCCATATTAAAAAGCTATTAGAGAAAGCAGGCTTTTCAAAATTTGATCTGTAACAGAGTGGGAGAAATGAAATGAAGATAAGGCTTGTCTGTGTTCTTCTCTGCGCCTTTAACTTCTGAAGTACTCTTAAATTACTTGCTCAAAATGGAACAACAGCAATAGTTCATTAGCATTTTCTTTTTCTGTAAAAAAGAATCTTGCCTTGAATTGCAAATTTGATCTTATTGGTATTAAACTTGATAAATTCTGATAATTCTGTCACTTTGTTTCTCACTGGGGCTGGTGGTTTTGTCTGTCTAGTCTCAAATGCTGAGTTATTAGTCAGTCTGCACGATAACATGCCTTCTCATAAACAGTTCTCATTTGCAGGTTTCTTTCATGTCACTGCCTGAGGAGAGTTTACTGTTGTATATAGATTTTTGTTTTTCTACAAACAAATTGTGGCAAACAAAGGGGAAAGAAATCTTCTCCAGGTGGCGCTCTAGCAACAGACCAGCATTTGGACAATGTGGTGAAGACGTCATTTATGATTAGATAATCTTTCAAAATAAAATTCCTTTCTGTAGGTAATAACTTGTAAACGTCATTTATGAATTTAATTTGAGATGGATGAAAATGTATACACATACTTGTTGGTTGGAAATTAGTTTTCAGAAGCTACATGAGTTGGGGATCACTAGAGAAATTAGTTTGTTCATATTCTAAGATGAATCTAATGATCCAATTCTTAATGTCTTGAACTTAGGAGTATCTTATTGAGCTGAGATATGCATGAAAGTGGAAAGCAATCGAGTTGAAATCCTCATTGTATAGCTATTAGACTTGGCTTTTCAAAATCTGATGAGGGCCAAAAGTATGAGAAAACACGTGAAGGTGAAATTCTGTTGATCCTTTTCTGTGCCTTTCACTTCCAAACTACAGTTCCATTTCATTAGAATTGTTTTCTTTGTTGTATCGCTGGACTCTCTGCGCAAGATTCCCAATGGGAACTACCCCAACTTGACCCAATTTGGCACGCATTGTGTATTTTGAGATTTCAAGGTAACTGCTGCTAATGGAAGAAAACTAAAGTGTATTGGGTTCTCTTTTAAGGTAGAATGACCTTATCATCTTCCAACAAACTCAAGAAATGCATGCTCTGATGAGTTGAAGTTGAAGATTTTGAGAAAGAATGAAAGCTGTAGCAGAAAACATGGGGCTGAGATCTCTCCAAAGTATTGCTCCACTCTCTCACAATCTCTGTTCCTTGTATTATGAAGCTTACAAGATTACTCGTTACTGACCATCATCACATGATCTTGCAGGTGATTGTGGAGAGGTTTGCCAATTGACCTTAGTGAAATCAAAAAAGAAAAGTAAGTTTGCTTTTTTACATTTGAAAGTTGGCACCTTTGTTATTCTTAGCACTGTTAAAATTTAAGGATGGACCCTTAGCCCACCACTAGCAACATCGAAATTGTTCCCAACTTAACCACCTATTTAGCAGGTATGGGGTTTGATACAAAAGGTCTCGATGTTATTAGGAGTAGAACCATTTATTCTATGAGACTTTCTATTTTATTAAGTTTCCAAAGTAAGTTTGCTTTTTTACATTTGAAAGTTGGCACCTTTGTTATTCTTAGCACTGTTAAAATTTAAGGATGGACCCTTGGCCCACCACTAGCAACATCGAAATTGTTCCCAACTTAACCACCTATTTAGCAGGTATGGGGTTTGATACAAAAGGTCTCGATGTTATTAGGAGTGGAACCATTTATTCTATGAGACTTTCTATTTTATTAAGTTTCCGATGTGGGACTCGTGTATTCTTTAACAAGCACTAGACCGTTGTTCAGAACCATCCATCTTAATCTTTCTAATAATTTACAATTAAGGTCCCTAGGCAGTGGAAGGGGCACATGTTTTTAACTAAAGGGATACTTAACGACAGCAATAAACTTAACATCCTTATTATATGCTTTCTATTAGCTTTTGATCAGAGCTATCTTGTCCTGCAGATAGTTCATTTGTGTTTGCGGCCTTCATTTGATCTGACCACATGGAAAAGCTCTCTTTGTGTTGATGAAGAATTCTTCATCTCAAACAAGATAAGCTGATGTTACACCCTGGGGGGCACGTCTTCGTTAGGGTTTCTTGCAAGAAAACTTTATCGGATGATTATGAAGTTGTTGAAAGTTACTTTCTATGTAATGCCATATGCAGCCAAGTTGTTGAAAGATTATAGCTTTGTCTATGAATCCTTCAAGGACAGCCAGTTTGATACTGATTGTTGTTTCCAACAAAAGCATTGTCTCTACACATTATAGCTTATTCGTCGAATGTTACATATATTCAATGTTTCCATACATTTCAAGAATTTTGACAAGCAAACGGTCATTGAAGTTCAATATGAAATCTTCTGAGGTTGTCTATGCTATGGGATGAGCTGCTCATGTTATCATTATTTCCATGTTCTGTTTTTATAGATTGTTATGACCCTTCTCTTCCTTGTTCGCATGACAATCACAATAGTATGCCTCCACTTAAGCAAATTAGAAGACACTTTGGAGTTGGGATATTAAAAGTAGAATTCTACATGCACAACCGATCATAACATTCTCTTAAAAGAATTTAGCGTTAACAAGTAAATAAACACGCACTCACAGTTTATTTGCACTTAAAAATTAAAATTGTTGTGCATGGAACTAAATTGACACTGATTTTATTTTATACCTTATCTTTCTTATTTCCATGAGTGAATATGTTTTGCTTGCTAATGCTCAACAATTTTAAGACAAATGCTATATGATTATGCCTCAGTTTTAATTTGTCACCTTAATTTTTCAAAATCCATGATTTGTCTTTAACACCATTCAATTTTCCATATATTTTAAGGGTATTTTAGTCTTTACATTTTCTGGGTATTTTAAACATGGAAAATTCATTATAACACAAATTGTATATCTTTTAAACAATTAAAATTGGAAAGAAAAAAAAATCGCCTACCCCCATCCCTTGTGTGCCTCCGGCAACTCCAACCAACCTTGTCCACCTTGAAATCCATTCACCCTTCCCTCTTTATAGCCCCTTCCTCCATTCCCCCTTCCCTCTACCCCTTCCTCCTTCTCTCTCTGCTATGGCACACCTACCTTCTACACACAAATTCCCTCAGCCCACCCAGACCAAGTCCACAAATTCTTATTTTTTTCTTTTTTAAAAATTTTAGACATGCTCAATGCACATCATAAAAAAATTTATAGAGAGAGAGAGAGAGAGAGACGAGAGAGGGAGGAGATAGAGAGCGTGGAGAGAGGGAGGAGAGAGAGAAAAAAAACTATAAAATTAAATTATTATTTTTTTGTTTTTAATAATGGGGTGTTTTTGAGTAGATAAAAATGGGCCTACCAAATGGGTTTTTGTGGCTTTAGATTTAAAATTTATTTTTCAATTTATAGAATTGGATCTAAATAAGATACCAAACAGATCCTAAACATGTCATAATTTTTTTTTTAAGAACAAAAATAATTTTTTTTTTTTTTTTTGTGGGTTGGGTTTTTTTTTTTTTTGCTTACAAACTACGCTTGAATTAAAGGAAAAGAAAACAAAAGTTTAGGCCCTATTTGGTATCCTATTCAAAAATAAAAAATAAAAAATAAACTAAAAAATTGTGATTCTTTTTAAAAACATGAGTTTTCAAATAGTGATTTTAAGATCTAAAAACTTGTTTGGTATAGAACTCCAAACTATTTTTAAGATCTAAAAAAAATTGAAATTAAAATCAGAAAATCATAAACTAATTCCCAAAATGAAATTAACAAAAGAAAAAAAAAATATGTGAGGCATAAACCCAATCAATTTTGGTGGTGTGCAAGAGAGAGAGAGAGAGAGAGAGAGAGAGAGAGAGGACAGAGGGAGGAGAGAGAGAAAGCGGGTGATAGAGAGGGAGGAGAGAGGACAAAGAGAACACAACAGATCTAGAGAGGGAGGAGAGAGAGAAAAAAAATTCTAGAACCTTTTTTTTTAATTTTATTTGGGTTAATGACCTAAATGATCCCCCAACTATCACTCGATTATCATTTTGGTCCATCAACTAAAATTTTCAACTCAAACGTCCATAAAATTTTTATATTGTACCAAAATCATCCTTCCATCAAAGTCTGTGTATTATTTCGTTAAATCGATGGACAAAACCGTATTTTTAGGTGAGTATCCTCTTCTAAAACGACTTGGCCACTGTAGTATCGCATTCCCTCCCATTTCTGTTAGAAGCTCCACCAAAACCCCCAAATTAGAACCCTAGGTTTGCAATGTCAGAGATTTCAACGTCAGAGATGTCAACGACATCAAATGGGACGAGCCAGTACTGCGCCTGTGGGACGAAGATAATTCGTCGGACTTCATTGACAGATTTGAGCCCGGGAAGAAGGTTTGATGCTTGTGATAAAAATTGGGTAAGTTATTATTTGGGTTGCAAAAGTTGTTCTTTTCCATTTGTAATTGGTTGATGAGGTCTGAAATTGGGTAAGATTTGATTTTCCAGAATAACAGAATAGGTATGCATTATTTCGAGTGGGTGGATAATGAAACTTGTCCAAGAGGAAAACAAGTGGTCCCTGGTTTGCTTAGAAGACTTAGAGCAATGGAGGAGGAAGGTAGAGCAAAGGAAGAACAATTGAGAGCTGTGGAAGCAAAAAAGAAAGAACTGCAGCAGAAATTGAAAGAAATGGTTCAGGAAAAAAAGGTTTTGGAATGGGGTCATGGGCAAAGACAGTTGATAATGTGGGTTTCCTTGATTTTTTTTCTTGGGGTTTGTTTATAACATTTCTGATGAGTGGGAAGTTGTAATTGTTATGGGGTTTGTTCCATTTGAATGTAATGGTTCTGAAATGTGCATTAGTATTTTGAAATGTGCATTAGTGTCCCTTGAATGTGCATTAGTGTTCTGAAATGTTCTTGAATTTAGGTTATTTGAATATCTGGGAGATGCCATTCCATTGAGTACAAGAAAGTAAAAGCCATTCCATTGTTGACCACACATGCAATTTACAAAATGAACATCCATATAAACATTCAAATTCCAATTACAGAGTTTGAGCCGATGAAACTAAAGACCAGTTATACCAATTACAGAATTCCAATTACAAAATGCACCTGCCTAGCAAAGTACATAAGCCAAAACAGACAACCAATTACACAGTTTGAGCTGTTCTAGCTCAAAACCAATTACACAAACTACACAAAATCCTCCTGCCCAAAAAAATACCTAACCTAAAATAGCCAAGAAATTACAGAGTTTTAGCCCTTCAAACTCAAAACCAATTACACAGTCAAAAGTCAGAATCAGTCCCTTTTGTCACAAAATCCCTCTGGCCAGAAAATTACATATCCCAAAATACACAAAATAGGACAACCTTAGTAAGAATTTCCCCTATATTGAGGCCATGTTATTATCATGGGAAATGTTGTCCAAAGCTGGTCCTCCTTGTCCCCTTCCTCTTGCCACCTAAACAATGTAATAATGTCAGGTGTATAACAGTTGAAAAATTGGCAATTAGTGAAATGAGTAAGAAATTAACCAAATGACAAAAACCTACAGTTGATCGTGAAGATGGTAAGCCTCTTCCTAAGCCTTTTCCTCCACTTATGCCTCTTCCTAAGCCTCTTCCTCTAATTGCACTTAGCTTTGAAGATGGTAAACCTCTTCCTAAACCAATATGTGAAGATGGTAAAACTCCTTGTCCATTACCTCTTGTCACCTGGAAAAGTTACTGATCTTTATTGTTTTCCAATGACATAAGCAATAAAAAATTGAAAAAAAAAAAGAGAAAATAAATCTTACACTTTCTTGTGAATTTGGGTAAACAGGGCCTTGAGCAACATTGCCTTTTCCTCTACTTATGCCTCTGCCTCCTTCTCTATTACCTCTTGCCATCTAAAATAAATAAATGATTTCAGCTTCCTAATGACTTTTGCAATTTAAAACCACAAGAACAACCAAAGCTTACACTTTGTAGAGAATTAGGGTCAGCAGTAGCTTGAGCAACATTTCCTCTTCCTCTACTTATGCCTCTCCTTCTGCTTATGTCTCTCCCTCTTACTGTGTTAGAAGAAAAACCTTGCTCCATTTGGGTTGAAGATGCATGAACCTGCAAATGTATAACAAAATTATTAATGTAAGTACGCCATAACATAGAACTAAACAAGGTGTCTCACAGTCATACCTGTTGGTTTTCATTGTTTTGTCTGTCACATGTTGCTCTATTATGGCCTTTTTGACCGCATCCACAACATCTTATTTCAATGAAAACCCTTCTAAGCTTGGCTAGTGAGGCAAGATAATTTGGAGGCATAGGGTTTGGTGGGATGGGGGCTGGTATTTCAACCTCACCAAGCTCCTTCGTCCTAACTCTTTTAGGCCTACCTGGTTGTTGCTTATAAAGTGGAGGTTTAATTGGAGGAAGGCCACATTTACTCAATTGGTCCATTGAAGGGATTGGGTGAATCACTTATTCATAAGCCTTCATATAAGTCTCCAGCTTATAACAACCATCCACATAAGCAATTGGGTTTTCACATCTATTGCTGAGATTGCATGGGGACATGGTATTCCACATAAATTCCACCTCCTACAAGAGCATGTCTTTGCTCTAAGGTCTACAACAAATTCTCCACCATAAATGTGGCTCACTTGATACAATTTCTTATCAGCCAATCTAGGAATGCATTGTGATGAACCTAGCTTGTTCTTCTCAATTATCTTGAAGATCCTAGGCCCAACAAGGTATCTCCAATTCTGACATGCAGACCTCCTACTAGCCATCCTAAGCATCACATACACCCTTATCCTCTCCAAGAAACTCAAAATTATCTTATCCCTTGCATCTAGTATGGCTGCATTGAAACTTTCACATAGATTATTCAACAAAAGATCACATTTAAAATGTGATCCGAAGTGAGATTTGCACAAATTTTTTGCAGGTATCTACTTCAACCACTTCCATGCTTCCTCATCCTCATTTTTCATCTTCTCCATTTCTGCCTCCCACCAAGGCACAGTTGTAGCTCTTGCTGCAGCCCATAATATATGTTTCAGAGCAAGATCAATATGTGATGCCCTAAAGTTACTGTACAAGTGTCTCACACACATTCTGTGCTCTACAGATTGAAGTACTCTCTCAATGGCAGGTAGAAGTCCCTTTTGTTTGTCAATAATCACTACCCAAGCTTGTCCATTTGTAATCCCTAAATCTTCAATAAGAAGATTGAAAAACCAAATCCAAGAGTTTTTACTCTCAATATCAACCACTGCATAAGCTACTGGGAAATAACCATTGTTCCCATCCACCCCAACAGCCATCAAGATCTGTCCAGGATAAGGCCCTTTCAAATGGCAACCATCAACACC